CCAGAGATGGCTGGTGGGTATATGGTCATTAAAGATGAAAGCCTTGCCAGAACTGTCTTACTGGAAATGCTCGAGCAGATGACCCAAAAGTAAATAGTGTACAACCTTAATCATCTCATTTTCTTTGTAAAAGGAGTAGTCACAATTATTTTGTCAAATGAATGGAGATATGAGCTTTATAATTTGTTTTGAGAGTGAAAATGCACATCGTAGTATTCTGAGCTTCTGTATTCATTGAGAACCCCTTCTCATCTGCCTTGCTGCAGTCTCTTTCTGCCTTTGATAATCCTCCCACATCCGCGTAGCAATTTGATCACACCATTGGCTTGCTTCTGAATCATCCAGTTCGGGATCCATCATATCTTCTTCATTGTCAGATGCTGAAGGTTGTTGGTTTGGGAGAGGAGTGGCTGAAAGGTCAGTGAACTCGGGAAATTCTTCTGAAAGTCCGCCATGATCTTCAAGTCGTATGAAGTTGTGGACTGCACACATTGCTGGCACAAGTCGGACTTGAGTTTTGAATGGATAGTATGAGCCATGGTTCATCACCGCAAATCTCTTTTTGGTAACCCCAAAGTTCCTCTCAATAACCATCCGAGCGCTTGAATGACGTAGATTGAAAAGTTCCTTCTTGTTAGCAGGCCTGTATACAGACAATAAAGTGAAGCAATATAAGTATATAAGATATGATCCACCTGGAATGAAAGAAAGAGAAGAAACAAACTCTTTATCTCCCAAGCGAGCCCATTCCTGTAGATGATAACGTATCTTTCTATAGGGCACCAAACAACTGCGGCTGAGGCTGAATCCAGCATCGCCAAGGTAGAATTTCCCTGGAGGTATGATCAAAGATCTTCTGCAACAATCTTCCCACATTGAGCTGTCAGGCATTGTGCCAGTATAACCAGACATTACATATTGGAACATCATGTTGAAGTTGCAAGCAACAAGTACATTTTGACTGATATTTGATTTTCGGTCACGGAATCGAGGTCGATCTTCTGGAGAGACATGCACAGGAAGATGTGTGCCATCAATAGCTCCTATGCAATCCTTGAAGTAAGGCATGAATCGTTCATCTTGCCGGAAAGTCAAAGGAAGAGATGTGTGAACCGTTGGCAGTTTAACCAAGCTCTGATAGAATTCGTGATCGTTGAAAGCATTGAGCACTTTATGAAAGACCCTGTGAGAGCAAAAAAAAATCAGAAAGATGTATATGTGAAGTACCAAGCAGATATACACACCTTGAAATTGTGTCAGGTGATCTTTGGAATCTCTCTTCAATTTTTCAAACCAAATTTCCAGTAATGATTGTAAATAGAAATATTGCCACTTGTTGACCAGTAGTCATGTTCTTTGTTTCTTCAATGAGACCTTGGTCTTCCAACACCCTCACCAATTTTTGAAATATATGAGGCTTCATGCCAAGTTGATCGTAAAAACACCGTGGATTTTGTGATTGTAAAAGCTCATCAAGCCATCCTTGGCCTGAAAGGATCAATGTATTGTGTGCAATTGAGGGCTCCCGATACAAATGATTCATGTAGAAATGTGCAGCACCAATTGAGGCCATTGCAATGATCCGTCTTTGATGATTGGAGACCTGTTGAAGCTGTGAGCGCGAGGGAAGCATTGCGAGACAATTGACTGAGATGATGTGTATGTAGTTTTTTGATTTTTTTCTCAAGTTCACACTTGGAACCCATAGCTTGTGGTTTGAGTTCACCTCGGGTTGTGTGTACCGAACGCACCATGCTCAGGTACACACCTCGAGGTAGACCACGTCAACCTGCGGATCCGCAAGTATACACCTCGCGGGTCTATACCTGCGAGGTTGAAGGACAGCAAACGCACTCTTATGCACATTCATATGGGAAGATGCTTCTAGGGCCCAGAAACTCCAAAAACCGAGAGACATCTTGGAAGTGTCCAAGAAGTTCCTAGATGTCACTTCTTGACACTTCTCGGACCTGTTTCTTGAGTTTTGAATACCATTAGTGGGTCAAGACTGTGGTAACCATAAGTTTTGGCCCAACATTTATGGCTGGCCACAAATCTAGATTTTTTGAGAAACTGAATCCAATTTCAAAAGAATTCTTTACACTCTCTTTCTGACATGATTTCTCATCCCAATCAAAGACCATTCTTTTATATTTTGGGGGCTACTAAAAAGCGCCCGCAAATAAAACCTGAGACCACCCGCTTTTAGAATCCGGTGGTAACTCAGATTGTTGGACTGAACTGTGGTTCAGTCCCGAGGTACTGATCTGTGTGATTGTTGGAATCCAATCAAACAGAACCGGGCGGTCTTGAAAGTTATCAAGAAGCCCTCAAAACCTCCCGGTACACACATCTCACAACCTGGATAGCAAGTTGCCACCCGAGTTGCCAAGCTTCTCCCAGAGATCTACTTGTGTGCAACCAGACTCTAGAGTTCATACAATATTTATAGGGCTCACTGGTGGGGCTGATGTTAGGAAGGGATCCTGAGTACAAACCAAAAGGCTTTTACACCCTCCTCCTAGATTCAGACTTGATGAAGCTAGAATTGCCCGTATGTCTGCCAGTCTCTTCATTTGGCAAGTCTTGAAACTTTGACCAGACCAAGTGAGGGATCAAACCCCATTAAACTGTTTGAATGGTCACAACAGCTCAGAGCCTTGAATCCTGTTAGGTTTCTAGCACTCATTACTTGTACAAGACAGAGGATAGTTCAGCCTGAGGGGACACTGGAAGGGGCAGGTCGCGTCTATTGATTTGAGTGTCTTTTGAGCAGAGCTTAACAATCCAGTCAAAGTTAACGATCAATATGGTGGATGAGATGTGTGTAGCGGGAGGTTTTGAGGGCTTCTCGATAACTTTCAAGACCGCCCGGTTCTGTTTGATTGGATTCCAACAATCACACAGATCAGTACCTCGGGACTGAACCACAGTTCAGTCCAACAATCTTCGTAACCACCGGATTCTAAAAGCGGGCGGTCTCAGGTTTCATTTGCGGGCGCTTTTTAGTAGCCCCCTATATTTTTACTATACTATAGAAATGTAGAGTTATTACTGGCTTTGACAGACTCGCAGGGTCGGAGGTGTGGAGATACTGATTTGGGGTTACCACTGTGTTGACACAAGCAACCGTACAACCATTTGATGATACCATTGAGAAAAAATGAAAAAGTTCAAGCCTGGGCAGTTGGGGCTTACAGGTGTCTCCTTGAGGCCACCAAGCAGCTATGAGTGTCAAGCCCTGTATTTGAACCCCAAGCAGTCAGAGCCTTTTGCCAAGGCTTGTGGACCCTTGATCCATGGGCCTCACTACATCTCCATACAAACATGTACAAAGGGGTGAATTGGGAAAGATACTCAAGTTTGCAAGATTCATTCTCTTCATTCAGGTGGCACTACAACTTTGGCTCAATCTGGACCTGGAGCATCTATGGACTTTATTCAATTCGCTGGCTGTTGGTCTTCCAAAGCATGCCATATCTATATCTTGGGTCATGTTTTTTTTAAGACTTTCTCTCTCAAAACCATGTTAATGGCCAAGCATCAAATGTGGGAGCTTCTGTTATGTTTTGTTAGATGTGAAATTGTTTGTGAATTAATTGATTTCTATCTCTTTTAAAGAGAATATCAAAAGAATTTTTTTTTGTCTTCACAACAATTCTTTCATTTGGTTTAACTTATATTGAGGAAACATATGAACAACTAAATTATTGATCAATATTGGCTATTTGATTTTTATTATCTTTGTTCTCCCTGTTTCACCACTCTTTTGAATATGCTTGCTCTTTTGATAGGCAGGTCAGAGAGGGTGTTGTTATTTCAGGACAAGATGTTAATTATTTACCCCTTTGGCTTTTGAGCTCAAATTAGTTTTGTTCCAATAGTTTTTCAGTAAGTACCAGGGTGATCTTTCCTGGAATTCATGATAGCAAAGACTGTATGATTTGGTCTTCAATGGTACACTTTGAAGTTTAATCTTCTTCAAGTGTAGAGTAAGCAAGTTAATTATTTTTGATTCTCAATATCTAAAACATAATGAATTGACATTTGTACCTTGTTGCACCCCAATTTTCAAAGTAAATCCATTTTGATAGCTGTTTCAGATAAAAGTGCATTATGAATTCATCTTTTTCTATTTAATACCCAAAATCAAATTTAATTAAAAACACAATACATACACCAAAACATTCATCCACCCAAAAAAATGATAAAAAGGCAAACCAACAAAAAACCCAAGTAATAAGAATTCTTGTGTAATTTTGATCTGCTAATTCATCACGGGTATCATATTCTAAAACTTCCTTTATTTTAAATTTCTTTTTTTATATTATAAAAAAAATAAATGAATGAATCAATGTTCTGAAAAAAAAGAAAAGACATAGACATAGACATAAAAAAGTACTAGATGTGTTTGAAAAGGAAGAAAATGCATTCATGTAAAAAAAAAAAACCCAAAAAAATAGTCAACAAAAACAACGAATGTAATAATCTTGAAAAAAAAAAGAAAAAGAAAATTAAAAAAACGACCCATGATTGTATATTTTTTTTTTTTGTTTTTTTTTGTTTTGAATTTGAATTTGGTTTCTGATTGAATTGGTTTCCAAAAAAAAAAAGAAAAAAAAAGAATGAAGCAAAAAAAAAATTAAAAATTCTCAATTAAAAGAATCCTTAAGAAAAAAAATTGTCCCAAAACAATTACACACACACACACACACACGCACACAATCACAGACAAACAAAAAAAAAACAAAAAAAAAAACAATCTCAACTTCAACTTCACAAACCCAAAGAAAACTAAAAAAAATCGTTGAAAACCAAAAGAAGGAAAAAAAAACGGTTTGAAAAAAAAAGAAAATACTTGGAAAATAAACCCTTTGAAAACAAAATGCTCAAAGCTGAGACATAGTAGTAGTAATAGTAGGAGTAATAAAGAGAGATAAGTAGTCCATTTATGTTTTTTTCCCATTTCCATTTCAATGTTTTTTTCTGTCTTCTTCTGTTCAATAAGGTTCATCATCTTGATCTAAAAGTTTTAAAGATGATCCATTGGGTTTAAACTCATTGGAATATCCCATTGGACTTTCTTCATTCAATTGTCTTGGTGATCTTTGATGTTGATGTTGAAGTTGGTTTGGAGAATGATATGAATCAAGTACAGAATGATGATGATCAGAACTAAAAACCCGTCAAAAAGAAGAAGATCAAAAACCCAATCATCAGTTAAATCGAACTCCAAACACACACTCCAAAAGAAAGATTAAAAATCACCTACATTATAGGTTCATCCCAACCTGTTTCTAACATCATTTCTAATTCATTTCCATCTACCACACTTACACCATCTTCATTAGAAACTTCATATAATCCAACAGGCGGTGGACCAAAACTTCCACCTGATGTAGTTGAAGTATGATGATGATGATGATGATGATGGTTTCCATCATAATTTCCAATATTCATACCCCATCTATCATCATCAGATGAAACAACAGAGATCGTATCGGTTCCACCTAATTCACTATGATTATAATTCGAATGAAATTGTCTAACTCCAAAGGCTCTTTCGAATTCTTTTTTACGTCTTTCTTCTCTTTTAATCTTTTTCAATCTTGATCTATAAAATAAGAATTATTATCAAAAACCAAGATATTAGTTCACTTGATCAAGTTTTTCTTTTGGATTTCTTTTGTTTAAAAAAGGAAAACAAAAAAAGCTTACCTTTCCCAATCTTCCCATCTTCTTAATGGAATTAAATCTGAATCGATTTGATCATTACCATTTTGTGAATGATCATGTCCTCCTTTTCCATCACCTTCAACTTTTCTTGTTTCACCCCACGAAAAATCATCAACTGAAAACGCAAAAACAAGATCGTATCAATCATCAATAACCTCAAAAAAAAGGAAAACGAAAAAAAAAACTTACAATGCCAAAAAGCATAAAGAGGTAAAACAAAATTCCAAACAGGTAAAGCCACCAAATAGATCAACATCCAAAGCACATAAGAAATATTCCTACTAGTCATCAAGATCAAGATAGCCGGTAAACCCAAGATAGCGGCCAATAAGATCAATGGGATCGCATCAGCAAAGTTTCTCGGAGGATTGATGATCGAATTGATGACCAAAGAATAGGTTAAGGAAATAGCGATCGGTAAGACGATTGTACCGGTGAGTTCCATAAAGACGACGAATTGCATGGAAAAACAAAAGGTACCACAGAGGTTAGGAACTCTAACTAATTCCATCAAGTTATGAATCGTTGAATTAATCCATCTTCTACGTTGTGATAATAATACTTTAAATTCTTCGGGTACGACCGTTCGACATTTAGCTTGTGGACAGAACATCATCTTTCTAGATGGAAACGTTCTGATCATCAAGGTAGTCAAGAACCGATCTTCACCTAATAATAATAAATTCTTTTGATGTAAGGTAGTAACGGTCGATTGACTGTATTCTCTACAAATCTCAGGTTGTGATAAGATTGGAATCCAATCTGATTCATTCGATCTTCTAGCTTTTAATCTATACATTGAAAAACATCCTGGTAAACAAGTTACTCCTCCAAAGACCGATTCGAATGCTTTTGCAAGATGATGTGAAATATAATATTCGAAAACTTGAATGGTGGTCACCCAAGTGGCCCGTTTGTTGGCTATTCTCGTTTCACCACAGACTCCCATAATATAAGGATCATGTTGCATACAGTTGACTAGATGAGTAATCGAATCTTTCCCTACGGTCGTATCTGCATCTACCATTAAACAAACTTCAAAGAAATCAGGTGTGACTCCCATCAAAGCTTGAATCTTTCTAAACAAATCATAATCTAATGGACTCATTCGATCATTATAAGTCACTCTGGAAAAGAAATTCATCAAGATCATTTGGGAATCTCGTTTGCCTCTGTTTCCTGGTTTCTTTTCTATTCTACCTTCTTCTGCTGTACCACATTTCACCACCACAATCACTGGTGTACGATGTCCCTTGACTCTAGCTGTTGGATATGTATCAATCATTAGCCAACTCGTTTTTAAACTAGAGACTTGGTGGTAGAAAAAAAAACACTCAACTATAATGACCAGCATAAACCATAGCCTGATTGTGTTCTTTAGAACCAGAAGCAACAGCATGATAACTCATAGGCATTGGATCTGAAAACCTAGGATCAGGTTCGATCATCGAAACACAAATATCAGGTGTTGAAAGTTTTTCACCATGACCGGTGATCATCCCATCACAAACGATAAACAATAACTTTCGACTATCAGCATAATCTGAACCGGCAATGGAATCCAGAGTTTTGCCTATCCCTTCGGCTCCTTCTGAATAACATGTCACCAAACAAACACAAAATAATTCAGCACCAATCGAAGCTAAATTAATTAATCCATTCGAATCCACTGGATTAACTGATTTAGGTCTTGGTTTCGGATTCAGATTTCTTTGGTTGGCTTTAGGTCCTGTTAATAATGAAGTTTTTTCTGATAAAGTCGGTTTCGATTTTGATGATGGTGGTGGTGATTGTAAAGTGTTGACCCAAGGAGCATGACCATTTGAATGACTTAAACTTAGATTAGCACCAGCCGGTAAGACAGCTGGACTTAAACCTTTACGTCTAAGATTCCGAGGTGGTTTGATGAGTCGATCAGAAATAAACCAACTAAAGAAGATCGCCATGATGAATCGAACCATGACGACTCCTAGGATGACCACCAATGAAACATAAAGAAATAATTGAGAAGCAAAACAACCTGGAGTAATCTTATCAATGGCTCCTGATCTAAATCTGGCTTGTAAACAAGGTGAAACGTTTCGAAGTTCGATTGAATTTGAAAATAATCTGGTAGCATCTTGACCCATGAGTTTTGGATTTGATAACATCAATCTGATAGCTGAATCGACTAGATCGGTAGGGATCGGTTTAGTTGAAGCTAAGTAAGATTCGAAATTAAGTACGATCCCATTGAGTACGAAAGAATAAGGTAGCAGGTTCGATTTGATTCCAAGCATAACCCACTTTGACGTGATGTGTTTTGTAATCTGAGAGTTTGTAATGTGTGAGGGTTAAGTTGAGGTAAGAGACAAGTTGAAGTTGGATGAGTTAAGTTTGCACAAAGATTAGAGGTGACAAACTGTCTTTGTTCAAAACCTTGACAAGCTTGAAAGGTTTGATGAGAATGATCAAAGAGTGAAGTGATATCTTGACCGATAAGTTCTTGTGAAATTAAAGATCGAGTTGAGATAGCTTCAGTGGCATTGAAAGCTCGACTCCGAGATACCTAAAGTTAAAGAGTGAGATGATAAATCCAAATAAAGATCATTAAAGAGTGGATCAGGAGGACATAAGACTCTATTCATGATGATAGTGACAAAAGCAGTAAAAAGACCAGCTAATAGAGCAATTGAACATAATGCTAATTTTTCACGCCAAGCTTGTTGAGCGATTGGATCGGGTATACCACAAGTTGATAATAAGCATGAAGGTATAGGAAATGATAACAGTCTAACATAGAGTGGCCAAGGATGATACCAAGATTGAGATTGAGATTGAGATTGATTAGGATTGTTTGAGAAACCAGCTGAAAGGTTTGAATTGATGAGTGGAGTTGGATTCACATGACGTTCAGGTCTAGTTAAAGTTTTAGCTCTTGATAGATTATTAGGTTGTTTGATAGTAGGTTGTTGGATTAGATTCTGATGTTTGATGATTGAGTTTGGAGAAGATGATAAAGAAGTAGGAGTGATAGGTGATTGATAATGAGAAGTAGGATGAAGTGGAGAATGAGTAGGTGATAAAGTTTGAACCAAGTTATGGGGTCTTGATTGATGATAAGAAGCTGAATTGGATGGTGGTGGTTGTTGTTGTTGTTGTTGTTGTTGTTGTTGCTGTGATGGTCGTGATCGTATTTGAGGTGATTGTCTTTGGTATGACATGGTGAAAGGTGAAAAGTTAAAAAGTGATGTAAAATGAGAGTGAGTGAGTGATGCTTGATAGACTATTTACTATTTTGAAGTTTTCATCTTGATGATAGTTTCTTGATGAATTCTTGATTTCTTGTTGACTGGAGTGAATCGAGTGAGTTGAAGTTCAAAGTAGTTCTGTTCTGTTTTCTTGATTTGGTTCAAAATTTACAGAAACCATTTCAAATTTTCAATTTACATAATTCCTTTGACAGTTTGTACTTTACATAGAATCTTGTAGATTGTACTCTTTCATACATCATATCCCGCAATCAAATCCCTTCGAACCTTCATGAGTACAATTCTTGAAACAAAAAAGGGTGCAAAGCTTCTCCAATTCAAACTTCTTCTTCTCTGAAACTGCTTCAATTCAAGCTTTCATTCCCAAGGTGATGACTGATGACTGATGACTGAGTTTATGGTCATGTAGAAGTTCATAGAGGAATTCTTTAGTTCTTCTGGTGTGATCAAAGTAGTCTAGTTGCTACCTTGCTCATCATCGGTGCATTCGTTGGGGTAAGCTGAGGTCTATATGGGGATTCACATTGACCAAATCGAAGTATTGGCCTTAGAAGTTCACCAACCTATTTCTATCTAACCTTACTTTCACATCAACGTGCGTGCATTTCATAAGGTTCTTCACCAAAACCTTTGTCAAGCCAAGAGACTTCACGCAAGCATCAACTTTTGAATGAAAATCATAAACAAAAAATGAAGAGCAAAGTCGAGAGTTGAGTTCAAATTCTAGTGCAAGACATCATCAGAAGATTTGTAACTTTTATTCCCAATGTTTCAAGTTGGATTGATCGGATTGCGGTTAACTGCTCAACGAGTTTGAACGATCACCGTCCCGACCAATGGGAATCATCAAAAAAAAACATTCATCAATGGTCTGGTATGTACTTCTTTCTACTTTTCTGGCATATCCATCCAACGATAGAAATCTCCCTCTTGCGGGACTCCTATCGGCTCGCTAACGTTCAACTTCCAAGATCGGCAAGGTATCCGAAAAAGCTCATCTTTTTTGGTTGTTCTTTCTCTACCCCAAGTACATACAACTTTTCCATTGACACTAGGAGCGAGCTTTTAGATAAGAGAATACAAAAGGAGTTATGGTGACGTCGCCAGGACGAACGATGGGTACAGTCGTTTTCAAAAAGCTTGCCGAAATTTGCCCGCAAAACTCGAGCAATTTGGCCACCAGCGGCGACTCATACAGCTGGTTCTCAGACAGCAGTGTGGCCACTCCCACAGAGCTGTCTGAAACACCTTTTCTCGACCATTGGCGGCCACTCGCGGCCATTCCGCTTTTGGCCCATGTAAAGTCCAATCCCTCCCTCGAACCATAACCTATACACGTACATACGCGTGTGCCGTCAGGTGCCGTCACAAAGACCTACACTCAGTTTTCCTCTTATCCTTGATCGTCCGATTTCCACGTATCAACTATGCACGCACTAACACGAATGTCCATACCACGAAACGAGATCGGATTCGAGTCGATCGATCACAAGCAATCTCAAAGTTTATGTGAAAACTCAAGAACTTGGTTCAAGATTAGACTCAACTAACCTTCAAGATATGTAGTACTCAATTTCGAAGTCGATCTCCTTTCGGTTATGCTGGATCAGAAACAAGCCCTTGGATATTTGGTTTGTTTTTCACAAACAATCTTGCCAAATAAGTAGTTAATCCTTTCTAATACTGTACACCATCTGTGAAGAATTAAGTTTTGATAGCCCAGGCCACATTTATCTCAAGATTATCTTGGGTCTCGATTGAATCACAAATCGACTTGCATCATCATCCCAAAATGAGATTGCAAAGACTGGATCCTCGAATCGACTCGGGCCTGGGAGCCAAAATATGAGACGTACCGGACATAAATGAAACAATCAAGATGATACTAGAGATTGGAAGAGAAAAACAAACCAAAGATTTTACTCATGTTATAACTGGTAGTCGACATGAATCCAAATCAAATCTTCAATCTACATATTCAAACAGAACCTTAAATACAAATTTTGACCCTGACAATGCTTATATCAAAATCATTCACTTCAATCTGCTTGAGCTCAATTTACTTATAGGTATCTGATTGAGATGGTCACTTAATCTTTGGTTTCAATTGCATTCAGAGTTTGCTTTTGTTCTGATACTCGTACAAATTATTCAATTTTTTGATCCCAAGAACAAGAAGTTTTCCTCACAGTTGCATCCTTGGCTTCAATGATCAGATTATCATTCCATTTTGTCAAAGTGAATCACAGCCTCTAAGTGCTGAAGCTTTGCATCAGCTTCCCTTTGATTATTGTATTGTATTTGTAAAGTTGTGTATATGTACCATATACATTGTATACATATGATCACATTTTGAAATGAGCTTTAATTCGAGACAGATTCAGAGTGTGGGGGAAATATAGTAACTAATGGTGATGTACATTTACCTTGATGTTGTGCTCTGTGACCACCTTAAGGGATATCTTGCACTGGTGCGGGTCCCTTTTGAGGGTGAATGTGAGTGACAAAGTTCTGATAAAACTTCATTGATGGGTAAGCTAGCTAAGGCATTTTCATATCCACTGAGGAGGTGAACATGAGTGCCAGTCGCATCCTTTGGTGTTAAATATTTCTTTGTCTTGTATCTTGTATCTGTGTAGTTGTGTTATATTCAGTTGAGGATCCAATGACAAAAAAGATGGGTTTTCTTTAGAAAAAATGCCCTATGTCTTTTTTCCCCAGAAACAGATGAGCTGAGATGAGATCAAACTTCAATTTGATGAACCATTGTATTCCAAGAGTTCTGGTATAACCGGATCAAGAACAAAAAACATATCAGCCATTGTGTCCTTGCAAATTACTATACTGGACAGGGAAGATAAGTACAGCTACATAGATTCTTAAATATGTGATGAGTGTAATTTGATTGTGACTTATTGAAGCCCTAGCATGAGCAGAAAAGGTGAGTTCTTTTTAAGGCATTTGGATTACAAGTGAAAAAGGTATCAAAACTTGTGTCCTTGAAACTCATTGTGCAAAATAGTACGGGGCGGAGAAGATAAATGCGGCTATGGGGATTGTTACACATGTGGTGAGTAAGATGTAATTGTAAATTCATGAAGCCTCATTATTAGCAAACAAAATGAACCCTTTTTATAGGTATTTGAATGACAATTGAAAATGTTATCAACAATTGTGTCCTTGCTGATCATGATGCAAAATAATACGGATGGGGGATATACATGCAGCTATGGGAATGACTACATATATGTTGGGTGTGATGTATCAGCTTATTCATGTAGTGCTAGAAGCTGCGGAAAAAATGAGCCACTTTTCATGGCTCTTTGATCACAATTGAAAAAGTTATTGGCAATTGTGTCCTTGCAAGTCATAACGGCAAAATAATGCTGAATAGTGAAGATAAATGTGGCTATGGAAATTGGTACATATGTGGTGATTGTGATATGATAGTAAATTCAGAAAGTCCCATTATGGGCGGAAAGAATGATCCACTTTCCAAGCATTTTGACCATAAACTGAGAAAGTTATGAAAAATCTCATCATTGGTACTCAAAACAAGGAGTTGTGTGGTGCTGGCACATAACACTTCGTGTCACACTTCTGGGTCAAAATAACAAGATTTACCATAACTTTTCCAGTTTATGGTCAAAATGCTTGGAAAGTGGATCATTTTTTCCGCCTTGGATAGGACTTTATGAATTTACTATCATATCATGCTCACCAGACATGCAGTGATTTCCATAGCCACATTTATCTTCACTATTCAGCATTATTTTGCCCTTATGGCTTGCAAGGACAGAATTGCCAATAACTTTTTCAATTGTAATCAAAGAGCCATGAAAAGTGGCTCATTTTTTCCGCAGCTTCTAGCACTACATGAATAAGCTGATACATCACACCCAACATATATGTAGTCATTCCCATAGCTGCATGTATATCCCCCGTCCGTATTATTTTGCATCATGATCAGCAAGGACACAATTGTTGATAACATTTTCAATTGTCATTCAAATACCTATAAAAAGGATTCATCTTGTTTGCTAATACTGAGGCTTCATGAATCTACATTTACATCTGACTCACCACATGTGTAAAAATCCCCATAGCCGCATTTATCTTCTCTGTCCCGTACTATTTTGCATTACAAGTTTCAAGGACACAATTTGCCATACCTTTTTCATTTGGAATCCAAATGCCTTAAAAAGAACTCACCTTTTCTGCTCATGCTAGGGCTTCAATAAATTATCATCAAGTCACACCAATCACATATTTGACAATCTACATAGCTGCATTCATCTTTCCTGTCCAGCACAGTAACTTACAAGGACATGAGGAGTGATAAATTTTTTGTTTATGGTCTGAATCACTCAAATAAAAGCTCAAATGGTCCACTGGGGTTAGAGCTTTCTGATGATACCATAAAAATGCACCCCTGTCATGTGTATTCATGTATATAACCACATATGTCTTTACTGCTCACACAAATACTCTTGCCACCAATGGTTGTTTTCACTGAGACACCTGGTTACTCATGTCTCAAATTATTCTGGTGTCTCAAATTGATCAGCTCAACATTTTTCAACCATTGATGTTGTTGAGACAGAACCTATGAAAGACCTAGTAGTTGCAGGTTATACCAGAGTCCTAGAAATGCAATCATGCATCAAATTCAAGTCTCATCTCACCTCATCCGTTGCTTAGAAAAGAAAAGAAAGCATTTTTTCAAGTATCCTTATCTTTTGTCATGTGATCCTCAACTTAATACAACACAATAGATACGAGACAGGAAAAAAACATTTCAATCTTTGAAGATCTATCACTTGGTAAAGATGCTTACAGGCCTTTTGCAAACACAAATTAAAAAGGGACACAAGACAATAAAATACCCAATAATTTACCTTGAGATCAATCTTACATCCAAATGCCTTTACAATTAGTACTAAAATACATTG